TCAGGAGAGCAGGGTCTGGTCATGTATTACCCGGTGTCTATTTTTTAATATTAAAAAACTCGTACCAAACCTGCGATTTAAATATCAGCTAGAGATGACTAAATAATTGAAAATAATTCTTATAATTCAATACGAGAAATGTTCAGTGATCTTGCATTTCTTTTTAGAAACATTATTGGATAACCTATAAAAACACTGAGAGTTCAACTCTTTGGCCCTGTAGATATCCTGATGATTATTAATAATAATAATATTGTAGTAGTGAGAGACAGGATAAGAAAGTCCTTTAATAACATCAAATGTATACTCTAAGAAAGACGTGTGTTCTCTTTGCTTTCCTGCTTGGGGCAGCACCTCCACGTCCAGTCTCCCGGGGGATGCAGAACACCCCTGCGGCCGGGGTTCCTGCAGTCCAGGGCAGGCCACTGTTCCCAGGGTGCCTTCCCCACTAGTTTATTAGAACGACTGCCTTGCGCTCCTCTATCAATGATCAGGTCTGATCGCTGGACAATGCACTTGGCGTTAAAGTTAAAGTCACCACTCGAGCTTTGTCACCACACCGAAATTCTGAGTGTGAAGAAAAGGACGTTTTTTGGCGTGTGTATTTAATGCAAATATTCTCTGTTCGTGCTCTCTAGGTGTATGTAGTTGGCTGGATCCCAAGATTGTGACTCTCCCACTGGTACTGATGAGCTGCTGTCAGAAGGTAGGAAGGTGTACTGAAAATCTTAATAAGAGATGACAGTTTAATTGAGCAGCCTTCCGCAGACAGAGCAGTTTGCACCCAGAAAGCCGCTTTGGGGAATGAGCCATTCACGTTAACTGTGCAGGCGTCTGCGCGAGTGTATATGCTCTTTCCATGAAGTTATCACCAAATGAATCTTAGTATTCAAAGCATCTCCCCAAGAATGCTTTTGAAAGCCTGATGCGTTGTACAGAGCAGTCTCAGTTTTCAGATGGAGGCCGTAATAATGAACGAGTTTATGTAAAACACTGCAGAATAATATATTAGACGCACAAAGCCGACGTGGTGCTTGCTGCCAGGCACAAAGCATTGCAAGCTCTGAAGTATTTCAGACAGATGCTAGCACTTTTGTAACGTCCTCAGTACATCATCTGTGATTGGGCATTATTGTGAACTCAACGACGTCTGAAAGCCAGTCCATTTCGACTTGGCGCTCGTTAGCTGTTACAACTCAGTCCTCACCAGCGATAGCATCCCAGACAATAGCAAGGAAATGAAGCAATTATAGTCCGAGTACTAAAAGTGGAGTTCTTTATTAATTTTATGTCTGTAATATGAAGTTTATTATGGTTTCAAATACGGTTTTGCACTTACTCCACAGCAGCTTAGATATAAAATGTGGAATTTTACTTGCTATTAATCTATAAAGCACAGTAGTACTTTCAAATGGCTGAGCTATTGAAGTATAAAGAATCGCTAACGCATCCATAACTGCCTTTCCTTCAAGCATTTATGAACCATATTGGATGTGGTGCTTATCGTGTAGTTAAACACATTACTGAAAAGTCCTAGCAAGGTGCGGGGCTGGATCATGTTGGCAGCCATTGGTTCCTGGAGGTCGAGTCCTGGAAGGGCCCTAGATCCTCTGTCTTCTTGTTCGTCAACAATCCTCACGCTTCACGCAGTTCCCCTTGGACTGAGCCCGACGCCTCGGGGTGATTACCGCAGGTGTCCAGAAAAGCATCAGCCTGGCTTGAGTCTGAAGAGGCGCAGAGGCAGAAAATGCACTCGCTCGTTTAGTTAATGGGTAATCCCAACCCATTGCTTGGAATATGGCTGACTTAACTTGGATTGCTGTGGCATCTGCCTCCAGCCAGGTTTCTTCTTCTGTCCTTCGCTGGGAGAGAGGAGTCTCTTGGCACTTACTCTTTTCACTCTGCCGCTGTACTTTCACAGCGTCACCGCTCGGTCTTCTGGATCAACTGGGTAGACTGAGTTGCCAGGCCTCTTCTCCAGCCGCCCAGCTGTTTCGATAGCTCTCTCCTGCAGCCTTTGCATTTTCCAGCCGCCTTGCTGATGCATGGACACCAACTCCTTCCCACGGCCCTGCCTGCATTCAGGGTGACACCATGTTGAAGGCTACTTTTTGAGCTCTGTCACTTATCTGGGTCTCCCTCTATTTAAGAAATCCAATTTTTATTAAAAATTAGGATGCTATATGGTCCCGGGGCAAATGTTTTACAATAATCTAAGCATGTTCTGTCCGTCTTTATGAGCCAGGCTTCCGGGCTCATCAGAAGTAGAGTCAGGTCTGTTGGACCAGTTTTCCATAAAATCACCCATCATATCCCCTACAAAACAATAGATCTATGGTCAATACTACAAGTTTCCTCTGACTTCTATTTTATTTTTTTACATCTTTTAAAATGATTGCTCTATGTCAGTTTGTGAGGAGAGAATTCGAATGCAAAGGCATGTTTTTGGTGTACCAGGCTCTTGGGCTCTGAACTGAAACGCATGATGAGGGCATTAGATGAATGCTACAGCACTGTCAATGATATAAACAGCAGTTTGTGCTGGTGGGCAGTCACAAATTAGACAATAGTTTCCAGTCTGTGCCCTAAATGACCCCTCATAATATGAGAGAGAACCCCTGTTTAATCAATTGTTATTGTACAAAAGGTCTAACCAGACTCGCGATGTCCTTGTGCAATGATATCAATATTGTTAATGTTCTATAAATAAGTTACAGCAAGGCTAGCCTGCTTTGCTTTGGTCACAATATACTGTAGGAACATCATGCAAATATTCATGAAAAAATCATGCAAGGATATGGGGGTGTTGGATGCAAAGAACAATTTTTCCAACTATTTAGTTGGTTTAATAAAAGAGCCCACATTTACCCAAAGAGCCTTGTCTGCCTATGCAACGCATATGCTATTTTTTCCTTTTGCTTTTGATATGCCTGGGTTTTTTGCACAACGCCGAAAAAGCGTTGACTACCTTCGACTTACGAGCAAACAGCAAGCACTGTAGCCCCGGAGTCAGGGTACACTGGGGCAAATTCTCCTCTCATTTATACGTGTAAATACACAGTGTTATATTTGACAATGTGCAGAGGAATTGCTAGACCAGTGATTCTCAGCTGGGCTGCTGTGGCACCCTGGGGCGCCTTGAGATCCTTTCCAGGGTGCTGCGGGCTGTCGCACAGTGCTAGGTGTGCAAATGTGAATCACAAATAAATCCCAAAAGATTTCAAACAGGAGCCTATGATGTCCAAACCATGCCGACCCGTGTGGGCTTTGTGTGCTTTGCGCCAGAAACGTAGCTCTATTGTTTTTCCATAGGTGGAAAACGTAGAGCTGACACTGGAAGGCGCCGCTGCATTAACAGCACGTTGTGAGAAAAGGAGTAGTTGGCTCTTTTAAAAAGATCCTGTCGTTTTTCATGTCTTTGGAGGCTTGAAAGTCAAATGTCTTTCTCCCTGAAATTTGTCCTTTTCCTTTCGGGACACGCACCTTTCTTTCTCTTCACCTGTCCTGTCCAGCAGAGTTCGGAGTTGCAATGAGTACGGTCATTACTTTGGTTTTCTGCCACGGATTGTGTTGGCACGGCTTGGGGAATCGTATTAGCTGAGCACTGCCGGGGAGACGGCAGAGGGAGCCCGGGAGCACCAGGACGGGCAGTGGGGTCAGCTCGGGGCTTGTGTTGTTTTTCAGTCGACGGTGGCTGTCGTTTCGGTTTGGCACAAAGGCAGCTAAAATAACATTAGTGCCTTTCAGGTCTTGGATGCAGCAGCTTCATCGCTGGCTCGTGTTCCTCCCCAGATTACATATGTGATCTTTTTAACTCTGAAGGGCAGATTAAACCAGGCCAGAAATCCCTAGGCTGTCCGCACAAATTGGGTGATAGTGAAGCAACCCTTAAAATAAGTTTTAACTTTCTCTTTTCCCCAAATTTCATCTGTGCGGTGTGCAAAAGCTCTGGAATTTGAATGTAACGGGCTACGACGGACGTGCCCTTGCTGCTGGAGGATAACTAATGCATCACAAATCTGTGCTTAGAGACGGGACTCTTTTGAGATGATGCTTTTCTACGTTTACTAGAAAAGTTTCGTTAAACGGCACAAAAATGCTTGCCCCTAGACAAGAAGCCCCCAGTCTCGCGGGGTTTCGGAGCCTCTCGGTGGCCTGCTGGAGTCGCGGAGGGCCACCGCCTAGACCTGGAGAGAAGCTCTTGCTTTGCGCCGTGCTGCTTGTTGTGCTGCAGTCCCCCCTGGACGAGAACCGCCGCGCTACAGCGTCTGGACACTGCACCATCACCTTGCTGTATCTGCAGCTTCTTCGGGTGCAAGAGCTCGTTCACTCCTCTCCCGCACCCCTATTCCCTGCTGAGCGTCCATGGGCAGTGAGTTCAGCAGCTTGCATCTCCCCACGGCTGCTCAGATGATGACGGGAATGCCGGTCGGACTTGTCTGTGCCCCGATAGTCTCCGAGGGCCATGTCTGCACGGTGCGTTTGGCCTGGGTTCAATGCTGCTCCTCGTCTCCCTTTTGTCTACACAGGAAAGGTCTAACGTGGGCTTCGGGGGGCCGCGACCCTGCTCTAGCTGGTCTGGTTCAGCTGCGGTTGGCACTCGCCCACTTTGCGCTGAGTATCCAGACTAATCAGTGAGCGCGCTAATAGTCCTCCAGTGCCATCCCACAATTTCTTCTGGGCTGCACTTTCTGTCCTGTTTCCTCTGTTCTTGTGCCCTGACTCGGTGTTTGAACCCACTCCTTTTTCTCTGCCTTTCCACAGCACAGCATCCGAGGAAGCGCACTAGGCCTCCGCCTGTGGTCCGTAGATTTGATTCCTGGGTGGCGTGCTCACTAAAAGTTCTTGCTCCCAAATGTAGTTCGCTTTTACCTTTGGCAGCTCCACATGGGGTTGAGCACCGTTCTCGCTTCGCTGCCACCAGCAGCAGCAGCTCTGTCACGCGAGCAACTTTCCCTATGCCTGAAAGCTTGCGAAAAACCATTTTTCCAACGATTCAGTTGGCCTAATAAAAGAGATCACATCTGCCCAACGAACCTTGCCAGTCTACAAATGCGTTTGCAGAATGGCTGAGCACAGGGCGCTGCAAATAACTGGGGATGTCCTAGCATGCGGCTGGTTCAGCACTGCTGCAAATGCCCTTTCACAGGTCTCGCGTGGGCAGGACGTCACGGCGGAGGTGACCCATCCGCGCCACGCTGACAAGCCCAGGCCAGCTTTGCAGTGAGACGTACCCCGCGGTTCTGTGGAGGAAGACCTGTACGCTGCATCTGGTTGCACTGACTAGACCATTCGAACGAACGTGGCATTTGGGCATCCCTTACTATCCACAGAAGTGAGCTCTCTCCTGACAGAAGAGCAAAGGACAAACCGGGGGGTTCCCGTCTTATGGACTTTGCGTCAGAAAAAAATTCATCCGCGAAGGGTTACGATGTGGTATTCTGTCCAAAACGCACGTGTATACAAGAGGAACGCCTTGCCAGCATCTATCACTCCTTT